AGAACCAGGAAGGGGGTACTAGGGGAGGAAACGAGCCTTGAAGTCAGATCCTGGCTCGGATCCTGTGTGACCTTGGGCTGGCCCCCTCCCTCTCTGAGCCTCAGTCCCCTCCTTGTAGCAAAAGGGGCAAAGCGTCCTTGGCAGGGCTGTGGGAGAAAATGCAAGTCATGGGGCACATAGTCAGTGCACCATAGGGGCGCACTGAGTCTGAAACCTTTGGGGGAAGGATTGAAGAGAGGTCAGTGCTGGGGACAGGTGTGGACGCGAGATCCGGGTGGCATCCGGCGGAGTCTTTCCCCTGACCATAAGCCCCAGTGCGTTTGAAACCTGATGCAGGTAGAGGGTGGGGCAGCTGCCTGGGCTCCACCCCCAAGGGAACCAGCTGTGTTGAGTCTGGCTTGGAGCTCCAAATAAGGTCTCAGAGAACAGGCTGGACCCGGCGGTCCGCCCTCCTGTTTGCCTGGCCTTTTCTGCATCCTTGGAGCTGGCCCCAACTGCTCGCACCAGGCCTGGGCTCGAATCTCCATTGGACTTGTCCTGTTTGACCAGCCGGCGGTGCTGCTCGCTCTCCCCGTGTCCTGGGGACGTCAGGCTCCCTGCTCCGTCTGCAGCTGGGGCCTGAGCGTGCTGGGGGAGGGCAGGTCCTGTGCAGGCACACAGCTGCCTTTGTGAGGGCGGCTGAGTCACATGGACAACACCATCCCTGCTGGGCCCTGGGGCGAGTGTGACGGGAGGTGGCCTTATCATGGGGCTGCGGCTGCCCCCGCGCCTGTGGCCAGGAGGCTTTCCCACGGGAATGAACAGGGAGGTAGCTGGAGCGTTGGCCGCAAAGCCCGTGGTCTGGGTCCCAGGACCTGGGTTCGAGTCCTGACTCTGCCGCTGTCATGCTGTGAGGCTTTGAGAAGGCTTCTCTGAGCCTCAGTTTCCACTTCTGCTGAAGGAGAACCACCGCCACTGTCTTGTAGAGGGGATACTGGACGTGAAAGGGCTTTGCAGGCTGAGGAGTGCTGGGCCACTGGGATCTGTGTTGACTTTATGATGATCATGATGACGTTGGCTAACATTTATTGAGCACCTACTGTGTGCCAGGCATGGTGCTCAGTGATTGACAAGGCCACTTGCAAGGGGAGAAGCCTGGGCTTGAACTGCTCTTGTCCACTAAAAACCCACCTCCAAGCAGGCAGCGGTTACCTGTGGCCCTTCCTGTCGGTGGGCACAGCCCTTCAGTGTTTGCGAGGCTGGCTCACCCCGCCCTGGCTGGAGGGCCGAGAGGGAGAAGGGCGGGGCTGCAGGAACAAGCCCCAGTGTGTCCTCCCACTCGCCCAGGCCTATTCACAGTGGGCACCATGGCTCTCTGGCCTCGTATCCCTGTCCTGGGGTCCACATCCTTGCAGATCTCTTCCCACCTCCCTGGCGACCTCATCGCTGTCTCCTTTGCTGCCTGCTCCGAACAATAAAGCTGCTGCAAACACATCCGGGTGCTCATTCGCGCCTGGGCTGGGAGATTTACGTATGTGGCCTCATCTGTTATGGTGGTGGTGCTGTTATTGTCCCCACGTGACAGGCGAGGTAGACGGCTGGAGATGCTGCCTGAGTCACCAGCTGGCAGAGCCCAGAGTAGAGGCCAGCTGGCCCAAGCCACGAGTTGGAGCTCCCAACCTCTTGGTGGCAGCATTGCCCACTCTCGCCCATCCCGTAACACGAAGCCTTTCTGCACTGCCCGCCATGCCTGGCCACTGTCACCAGCCAGTAATGCTCATGACCTTCTGTAGGCCTGGGGGACCCTTGCCTTTCACACCCGAGCCCTAGCAATGTGTTTCCAGCTGCCTGTTGGAAGCTCCCTCACATGTCGCAGGGGCACCCCCATTCCACTGTGCCCCAGGGCAGCCTCTTCCCTGCCCCTCACATCTGCATCCCACCCGTGTCCCCCACGCGTGAAGGCAGTTTCTGACGACTTCTCCCCTCTCACATGAGGGGTCGGGTCCTAGCCCTTCTTCTGGTTTCTTCGACCACACTCTCCTCCCCAGCCCCCGCTCTGTGGTCCCCTCCAGTGCCCTCGCTGGACCTGGCCTCCCCTCCCCTCCTCCACCCATCGCCCTCCGCGGTTGCTGGGACAAGCCCCCGGAGTCTAGCCCAGGGTTTCGGCTGCTTTAACAAGTGCTGCAATCACTTGGGCATCTGGTTCAAATGCATATTCTCATGCAGCAGGTGTGGGCACACCTGGGATGCTGGATTTCTAAGTCCTCGGGTCATGCCATAGGTCTGGGGACGACATTTTGAGGGCTGACCACACCCCTTCCTCCCAAACCCCTTCTCTGGCTTACCAGGCCTTTGAGGAAACCCCATCAAAAGCAAACGCCATGCTTTCGGAACCTTCCGGAATCTCCCCCTACTCCCCTAATTAGATCCCGCTTCTTCTGGAGAACGGCTCCTGTGTCCCAACTCGCCGCCTCTGTTGATGCTGTTCCCTCTACCCAAGTGGCCTTCCCACTGGTCTCTGTTTATCAAAACCCCTCCTTCAAGACCCATTCAGGGCTCTGGAGCAAGGCTCCACCCTGGCTCTGTGGCTGAAAGGCGTGGACAGCCCCTTGCCCTCTCTGTGCCTCGCTCCCTCTCTGTGAAGTGGGGACAGTGACTGTCATGAAAGCCCAAGGAGATGATGCATATGAAGACCCCGGCCAGGGCCTGACACCTAAGAGCTGCCTGGTTGGAGCCTACACACATCTGGGAGCCTAGCCCCAGACCAGCTGTGTGGCCTTGGCTGAGTTACTCTGTGTCTCTGACATACCAGGGGGACCCAGCCCCCAGGGTTGGGAGGATGAGACGAGAATGATCCACGTAAAGTAGAGTGTCTTCCACGGCGAAGCCTCCAGACAGAGCGGCTGTCATCAGTCCTGTTATTAGTGCTAATGACAGGTAGTATTGTGATAAATAATAATTTATTTGGTTTCTCTCCCTTGACTCCCAGAGCCCTCTGGAGCTCTGTGGTGCTGATAATTGACTCTCTGGAATCACCCAGTGTGAGCCAGGCTTGTCTCCCCACGCCAGCCCCAGAACCTGGCATGGTGTCCAGCCCAGAGTAGGTCTCTGAGAAGCCCAATGGTGAGAGGGCAGGCAGAGCTTGGCAAGCCAACTCCTGCCCTGGCTGGGCTGCCCCATAGGCCTTTCCTATGTGGTCGGGGTGGCAGCTGGCTCCAGGCCTCTTGTCCCTCGCGGGTGTCCAGCTTGCCGGGCCCCTGCCGTCTGCAGAGAGTGACGCCTCCAACTCTCCATCTGTGTCCTGTTGGCCAGCACCCTCTGTGGGCTGTGTGTGTGTGTGGGGGGGACTGCTCCCCTGCTGGCCAGGACCCTGGGAACAGCCGAGGCTGCCCCAGCTACCAGCCGGCCCGGCCCTGAAGGACAGAGCTTGGGGAAACTGAGGCTTTGAGGTGGCGACTTGCCCCGGTTCATGGCATGTGAGGGACTCTCCATCCTTTGCTGGATAACTCACTTCCACTCCCTCGTTTCCTGGCCCCCCAGTGTGGGCCGGCCCTTCCTGCCCTGACAGCGAGGGAGTGCCCACTGTGGCCCTGGGAGGGAGCAGTGGGCCGGACGTGGGTCAAATGCCCACGGTGCCCGTCTACTGCAGGCATCAGCCACAGCCTGGACAGCGAGGCTTCCTTCTGGAAGCCCTGGCCCGGGGTCTGCCTGCACTGCACCGGGCGGCTTCATTGCCTTCCTCTCCCTGCAACTTGATTTATGCCGGCAGCTGAGGGGTGTGCTTCCCCTCCAGGAACCTCTGCCTCCCAAGCTACCCAGAGAGCTTCCATTCCTGTTGCATGTGGCGAGTTTTACAGGCCCCGTCTTTCAGGATGCAAATCCCTGTGAGAGAGAAGGGACCTACGGCGCCCCGAGCATCCTCTGCGTCCAGGCCCCGCTCCAGGGGTCCGGGGGGACTGGATTTGAGAGTGGTTAGGGGAGCCAGTGTGGGGCCAGACTGCCTGGGCTTCATCCCGACTCCACCACTTGTCAGCTGTGTGACTTTGGGCGAGTTAATTCCCTTCTCTGGGCTTCATTTCCCTGCCCTGTGCTCTCCCTTCTTCACCATTCACAGTGAATATTTATTGAGGGCACATCAAGGGCCAGGCCCTGGTCTGAGTGACATGTTTTCTTCCTCACCACTGTCCCGTGGCACTATGCTGATGGCGCGAGGGAAGAGCCTGGAATGTAGTAAATGGCCAGTAAACGTAGTCATTATTATTATTACTGTTATCATTGTTGGTGTCATCACTTACCCTCATTACGTTGTGAAATCCTGACAGCACCTGTGACTTGGGACTCATTTATTCATGTCACAGGGGTGAAGAAAGACAGGGAGTGGCCCCTCTGCAGGGTGGGCCATGGGCCATCTGAAGCTTCCTGACCCCAGAGAGGCCCCGAACCTTAGTAGTGGGGGAGCTGCTGACAGAGGCCAGCAGCCAGAAAGGGGATGAGGGTGTCGGCCTATTTCCAGATTTCTCTCTCTGAGCTTTCGGAGCCACCAGAAAAATGGTTCCTCACCTGGGCCTCCGTTTCCCCTTTGGCCCAGCAGACGGACCAAGGGAGTCTGTTTCCACAAATCCCTGGGGTCTCGGAATGTTCAAACTGTGTGTGCATGAGGAACGTCGAGATGAGTCCCTTTGCCGGGATGGCTAAGTGAGGCTCAGGGAGGGCTCAAGGTCAAGCGGCCAGTGGTGTGTGGCCTGGCTGGCTGCACGCCAGGCTACTTGACACCCCCCTCCCCGGAGCGCCTTCCGCTCTGCCGGTCAGTGCCGGCTCCTCTCTGCTGCCAAGGAGGCTGGACTCTCCTTCAGGAAGGGGCAGTTGTCGCCTGGGAGTGGGGGCAGCATCAGAGAGGCCTGTTGCCATAGCAACCCTGGCCTCTCTGTGGGAACTTTGGGGAGAAGAGCCCTGGGAAAGCGACAGATGGAGGGCGAGGAGGCAGAGTTGTCCCCGACCGGCGTCGGTCTGGGAAGCCTGGCACCTGTCTGCCTGGATGGGGGCGAGACTGAAGTGCCCTCTTGCCCAGTGCTGAGTCATGGGCATCCCCCGGGGTGACCACCTCAACTCCCTCAGCGCTGGCCCCTCCCAGCCTCCCTCTGAGAAGTCCGTGACTCGCGTATGGTCCAGTCATCCCCAGCCGAGCTAGGGAGGAGGGAGGAGCCCAGCTGGGGCAGGAGGGGGCGTCCCCCCACCAAGCACGCCCTGGCGCCTCCTCCCCGCCCCCGTTTGCGCTGGCTGCCCGCCTTGCCCTGCCGCAGGACTGGGCTGGGAGCCTCCCACACTCACCAGCTCGCTCGGCGGCGGGCCCACGGCTGGCAGGCTGAGCCTCGGAGGTGGATCTTGAAGGGTGGCTCAGCTGCCTGGCCCCACGCAGGACCTTCCTCCCGGCCCCAGGTACCAGATCAGGGGTGCGACAGCAGGAGGGAGGAGGGTGGGACGTGTGTGGCAGCAGCGGGTAGAGGTGGTGGTGGAAGGGGAATTGACTGTGTTGGTATCTCGCGGGAGCTAGCCCACATGAGCAGTGCTGTGCGGGGTCTCTAGAGTTGGGGGTGGATGGACCGGGAGTTGCCTGGGAAGGGGACAGGGCCGAGAGGATGGAACCTCCCAGAGCCAGTAGTCATTTGTTAGCCGGGGGAACTGAGGCTCAGGGTGGTATAGTGAGTGGGCCCAGCAAGCTGGGGTCTGCTCTCCTGGCTCTGAGATAACTGTTTGCTCCTGCTCCCACTGTGCAGATGGGAGAGCCGAGGCTCTGAGAGGTAGGTAGCTTCCCCAAGGTCACATAACAGCCTGGGATGGAGAACGAGGGTCCAGCCTCGGGGAGGGGAGGCTGCTGCAGGGGGCTCTTGAATGTAGCTTTGCCTACAGCTGCCCTGGGGCTGGGTCCACGCCCCCGAGGGAGCCAGGGGTGTCTGGCTCTTCATCCATCACACAGGCCACCTCTGGGAGGAGATGGTCCTGGCCATGGGGTCTGCACATGGGGGACCTGGGGTGAGAGCATGTGCTGGGAATCAGGGGCTGCCACATGTGGAAGCAGAGGCTGAGGGCTGCAGAGCCCCCCGCCCGACAACCAGCAGACCTCAGGGCCCCCATCTGCTGGGCGCTGATAGGACCTTCCCGCTGGGGCCTCCGCAGCAGCCGCCCTGTTCCATCTGGGGACTGCTGGTTGCTGCCCTCCCCACTCCCCACTTCCCCACCTCCCCAACGAGCCTCCTTCCTATGGCTCCGAGTTGGGGTCTCCCACGGCCCCGTGGGAGGGACTGGTGCTCACTTTACTGAGGAGAGTTGGGGGGCAGGAGGTGAGGTAGGACCCCGCTTCTCCCCACCCCCCGCCCTCTGCCTGGAGCAGCTCTGCCCTGGGGTGGGTGGGGTGGGGAGGAACAGCCTTTGTGACTCCAGAGGGCCAAGGAAGTTATTCATATAAACACTTGTTGAGCACCTACTGTGTGCTGGTACTGTCCAAGGGCTGGGGGACATGGCTGTGAATGAGGCAGATAAGGGGTCTTAGAGCACATGGGTGGGGCAGACCCAGAGCCAAGCCCCCAGCCCCCTCGCCGCAGTACCCCGAGGGCAGAGGATTGGTTCCTTGGAAGGAGTCTCCAGTCAGTGAGAGCCTCGGGCTGCTGAGCTGGCTCCCCAGAGCCCAGGCCAGGGGTCCGTGGGGTCTTCCTTGCCCACGTCTAGAGGGAGGACTAGCTCTTGGGGCCACATCTGACCCCTCTTTGCTGCAGGGACTCCAAGGGGCTGAGATGCAGACCAAGCTCTGTCGTAACAGCCCTGTGGCCGCCTTGCCTGGCCTCTCTCTGAGCCTCAGTGGCCCCAGCTGCTTAGTGGGCATGTGTGGACCCAAGGGCTGCCCTGGCCGCCGTGGTCCTGGGGCCGGGCTCCAAGAGGGCTGGGTCGTGGAGGACACCGCCCCAGGCGAGGCCCATGGGGAGAGGCTGTACCGGGCAGTGTGCGCGGTTGTTGCTGGTCTCGGCACCCTGGGCCACGGGGCAGGTGCCAGTCAGCCTGGCTGGGATACCCCCATCTTGTCAAGGACACAAACAAACAAGACGGTTAGGGTCTGAGGCTGAAGAGTGAGATAAACTTGCCAGTAGAGGGCGAGAGGGCTTTCTGCCCTGGGGGGACCCGGAAGGTGCTGCAGGGGCGCTCCGGCTGGGCTTGGGGACCTGTGGGGTGTGGGGAGGGGTGTGCAGCACGTGCATGAGGACTGGGTGGGGGGCATTTCGCAGAGGAAACTGCCTGGGAAGAGGCTGGGGAACGCTGAGAGCCGGGGGTATTGGGCAGGCGATGGCACTGGAGACCTGGTGTGGGCATTTCATGGGGTCTGGAGTGCCAGGCCGGCAGGTCCCAACCTGCTCTGCAGAGCAAGGGATGGTGGGAGGACTCAGGCAGCGCTGCAGCCCGCAGCCAGGCCAGGGGGTGCCGGGTGTGGGCTGAGTGCCTAGACTGCCACCCCAGCAGGATGGAGAGGGCAGGGCTGGTGATGCGGGGCTGGCTGGGCTGCCCCAGGCCCTGGCTATGGGGCTCAAGCTCGTGCCTGGAGGGCAGCTCCATGGCTGTGGGGACAGAAGGGGAGGTGGCCGCTGAGCCCAGGGGATGGCAGGTGAAAGAGGGAGCAGAGCTGTGGCAGGGTCTGTGTTGTGGGGACGGCCTTCCTAGCAGGGCCTGGCATGACAAAGGAGGGGGAGGGAGGCGGACAGCCATGAAGGGGGCCACCTGGACTCTGCGCCAGCTGAGCCGGGCCCCAGGGCACTTCATCCTCAGCAAGAGCAGCGTGTGGGTGGTGGGTGGTGGGGCTGGGGGCTGTGCCCCTTAGGGATGCAGGTGGGCTTCTCCATGGCAGGGTGAAGAGTCAGGAGCAGAGCTGGTGGAGGATGGGGCAAATGTGGTAACCTAGCCCCAAAACCCACTGCCGCCACCGCCTCCTCCTGAACCAGAGCCTGGGCAGGGCTTGGCACCCTCGACTCCCTCCGGGGATGGCCCTGTGGACCCCGCCTTCTGACTCACAGCAGATGGGGCATCACGTGAGCAAACCCAGCAGCCGGAGGGACCAGGACCCCGGGGACCAGGCAGATGGCATGTGGGGGCGGGGCAGGGCTGGCACAAAGGGGCCTCTCAAATGGGGTGGGTGGCGGTGGCCGGCCTCAGCCTCCCCAGGCTGACACCTTGCCCTCCACCAGTCTGGTCCTCACGCCCCATCTGGAGTTCCTGGAGGCCCTCGGGGAGCCCTGTGGATTCTGGGGTGAGGCCTGGGCTGGCGGGGAGAGGGCCCATGGCTGGGGGAGGAGCTTGGGCACAGTTTCTGACCCCTGTCCGGTGCCAGCCTGCCCTGGCACAGGTGGGCTGAGACACCTCCCCAGGACCCTCAAGCCCTAAACTCTCCCTGGTCCCCCAGTGGCTGGGCCTGGGCTGGAACCATCCCGGACCTTCCTGGCCCCCAGACTCCGTGGGGCCCTGGCCAGTGCCTTGCACACGCCTCTGTTCCCAAGGCTCCCATGGAGCCCACTGCAGAGACGGGGACGCTGAGGACACTGAGCGCAGGGGGCTCACCCGTGAGTAACTGCTTGTCTCTGGGGCTCAGAGTCTGCACTCTCATCCACCATGGCCTCCTGTCCCCTCAGTGGGAGGGGCTCCCTGGCCAGGCAGGCTCCGTGCTGGGTGCTGGAGGGCACGTGCCCTCGTCTCGAGCCCACCCCTGTGCTGCCAAGCCCACACTCCTCTGGGGTGGCAGGACCGCAGAGATGGCGAGGCCACTTGCCTGGGGAGAATCCTGGCCTTGCTCCTCTCTGGTAGTGTGAGCGTGGGCGTCTGCCTCAGTTTCCTCCTCTGTAAAAAGTGAATAATGACAGCGTCTACGTCAGGGAGCCGTTGTGAGTATGAAGGGGTTAACATAGGAAAGCGTTAAGAACACTGCCTGGTCCGTACAAATGTTAGCCTTGTCATGACCTCCCCACTGAGCAGATGGGTGCACGAAGGTCCAGAGATAACTTGTAATAACTTGGGGGACTACTTCCTGCCTCATCCCCCTAGCCCCAGGGGAGCTGGAGGCACCTGGGCACTGGCAGGACCCACTGCCCACCTCTGGCTGACTTGTGCTTTGGCGGGGAGGCCGGTGCAGTGGGCACCGAGCTCCTGGGTTGGCACCGGCTCTGGCTCAGGCCGTTGATGGTGAGCTAGGCAGTTCCAGGCAGGCAGAGATGAAAGCTGAGCCCTGGCATAGCTGGCAGAGCTTCCAGGCACCAGTGGACAGGCCTCTGCATTAGAGGGAGATGGCCTGGGGGCAGGGGCCTCGTTGTCGGAGCCGGCCCAGCTCCGAGCTCCTGGAAGGCTGGCGGTTCTGCCGCTAATGGCTCCAGAGCAGCTCTGGGCCACTTAAACTCCAAAGCAAGCACCAAGGAGAGATGGCGCCGCCTCCACCACCTCGCAGGGCCCTGGCCCTGGCCCTCTAGGCCCACGTGGGAAAGGGGAGGGCTTCAGGGGCAACCTTCCTGGACCTCGGTGTCCTTACCTATACACAAGGATGACAATACCACCCCTGGCAGGGTTGTTGCTGGAATATGGGGCAAGCAATGGCTGCAAAGTGGGTGCTTGGCACAAGGTGGGGCTTTGCGGGGTCTTCCTTACATCTCGGTTGAAGGCTTTGTCTGCAGGATCATGTGGTGGGTGAGTTAGAACTTGGTACAAATCCTTGAAAGGCAACCTTGAGCAAGCCACCATGTCTCTCTAAGCCTCATTATTTAGGCTGTAAAATGGGGGTGAAGATACCCAAGTCTCTAATATTTAAATGAGACGCTGTGGGGATTAACAGAGACAGCCACACAGTGTAGGGGCCCACGGCAGGAGGCCCCCCTCCCCAGCTGTCCTGGACCTTGGTCCCTCCACTGCCCAGCTCGGCGGTCCCTCTGGGAGAAGCAACACAAGGTGGGTGGCTCTGGGGCTGCCTGGTTCTTTCCTGGCTCCATCAGCTGTGTGAACTTGGACAGGTATATTGGCCTCTCTGTGCCTTGGTTTCCTCATCTTTCAGATGAGGATGGTAATGGTACCTTGAGAGGGTTAGGTGAGCCATGAAATCTTAAGTGCTGAGTATAGTGCCTGGCACACTGTAAGTGACGTTGTCATTGCCATTGTTCTGGGCCCCCCCCAGGCCCTTCACTTAGGGAGAAGCAGTGAATTTATCCCCAAGCATTATGCCCGTCCTTGAGTAATGTCTCTGGGAAGGGCCCCAGGCCCCAGGGAGCCACCCCCGTGGACACTCCCATCTAGTGGGCTCTTGATCGGCTGGCCTGAGGAGTTCTCCAAGTCTGGGGATCCCTCCTGCTCCCTGGGACCCAAGGCCTGCCTGGCTTGGCCACGGTCCTAGGCCTGCAGGGGAGGCCTGAGTTTGAGCTGAG